CCCCTTCCCAATCCCTAACCACACCCCCCCCACCCCCTGCCCCTGCCCCTGAACTTTTTCCCAGTAGGAAGTCTATTCATCCTCTCAGGCTCTGTCCATGCCCTGCCTCCTCCGGGAAGTCCTCACACCTCCCAGCCCCTCAGGCCTCTAGGGCCTCCCAGAAGGCCCTACCTTGCCCGAAGACTTCACACCCTTGAGGATACAGAGGAACACGATGACCCAGGCAAGCAGCAGGCAGAGGCAGAGGTTCCAGCGGATCTCCCCAGGACTGCCAATGCCCCGGCTGCCTTGGATGTGGAGAACGTAGCGGCTGTGGGGGATGGAGATTTGAGAGTCCTCTGGTCACCCTGCCACACGCCACACACGCGGGGCAAAGCCGCGGCCAGCAAGGTTCCTATCACTGTTGTCACCAGCATCAAGATTGTCCGCCAGCATTTACTCAGCATGATTATCCAACAGGCTGGATGGCACAATCGTACCTTCTTTCCCTTAATCCTCACAGTGACCCTCAGAAATATATGACCAGACCCACGTCAAAGGCAGAGCATCAGAAGCCAAATATATTGGGTAAGGTTGCACAGCTGGTCACTGAAGAGCTGGGATTAGAACCGGGGTCCACCTAACACCAGCACCGGCACTCGGCCTTCCAGGTGCACGCCGAGCCCCTGGGGGACGCCGGCCCATCCTCGCCCCCTCCCTGCTGCCGGCGCCTAGGGGCCCGCGGCGGCCTGACCTCCAGTACTCCTCGCTGGGGCTGACGGTGCTGGTGAGGTTGAGGGGCAGGGCTCCATTGCCATCCTTGGAGCCTCTGTGCTCAAGGCAGAGGTCTGTGTTCCACCAGTTGCCACAGTGTTCCCAGGGCAGGTTGCTGGTGAGGGAGGCGAAGAGGTAGAAGAGGACGTAGGCGATGATCATGTTGTAGTAGATGGCCACCAGGCCTACGATGAGCAGCATGGCCGCGCCGGCACCTGGGGGTGGGGGAGTGGGGGCTGCCCTCAGGTCGAGGCCTCCTGCAGGCCAGGCTGTGTGGCCTCCGGAAGCCATCCCCTCTCTGAGCTTCATTCCCCTGTCTGCCTAGAGGTTGGGGGAAGGGGGCAGCCTCCCTGCCTCCCCCAGGCCCGGACCCCTCCTGGGACGATGACGCCTCACCTTTGAAGAGGGGGCTGATTTTCCAGACGGCCAGGGGTCCCAGGCTGGAGAACTGGCCCAGTGAGAGCTCGAGGAAGAAGAGGGGGATGCCACAGATGGCCAGCATGAGGAAGTAGGGCACGAGGAAGGCACCTGCGAGGAGGAAGGAGGTTGGGGAAGGTCTCGGGTGGGTCAGCTCCCCTAAAGCCCAGCTCCGGCCCCGCCCCTGCCCTGATGGCAGACACCTGCGACCCCACGGAGCACTTCTCGTTTGGACTGGGACTGTCCTTTTATACCAGCTCACTGAGAGCCAAGGGGGCTGGTGGGGATCTCCCCACCTCTGCAGCCCCAGGGCCCAGAGGAGGGCTGGGCCTCGAGCAAACACTGAGTGAGTGAACGAATAAAGGAGTGAATTCCCGCCGGAGAAAAGTGCAAACGCCTCAGTATGGAAATGAATGAACACCCTGCAGAATCTGGCCCCGATCTGCCACGCCCCCTTAGATGCTTGTGGCTGCCACGGGCCATCCCGTGTGCCCAGTATCCCTCCCCATTTGCTTCTCATACCGGTAGCTGTCTCCTTTAGAGAACTGCCCACCACTATAGGGCTCTGGGAGGACTGTCACTCACAACAGCCACCCCACCCCACCCCCTCAGATGTATTTATCCCAAGCCAAGCCAGTTCAAGACCTTCCCTGCGGTCCTATATGGATTCACTCAGAGAGAACAGTTCTGAGGATAAAGTCATTCCAGAGTTGTCTGTGCCCCCCCCCCCCAGCCCAACCTCAAGGAGGGAGCCTGTCCCAGCAGAAAATGAGGTGAGCACCCAGAGAGAAACAGAATCAGGAACCAGGGAAAGGGAGAGCCAGCAGAACTGGGGCCATTATCGAGTTCCTAGAGCATCAGAGGCCAGCTACAGTCCCACACTTCCTGGTCACAGCAATTCATCTTTTCCTTGCCTCATCTACTCCTATTTGGATTTCTGTCGCTCTGCCAATAGGTGTTTCTTCAATGAGTTTGGCAGAAATGGGAAGGAGGCTTCGAGGGCGGGTGGGAGCATGCTGGCTCTCGAGAAGGCAGAATGGAAGGTGGAATGTTGGGTCGGGCACCAGATGACCTTGGACAAGGAACCTGGCCTCTCCAAGCCTTGGCTGTCAGATCAGGACAATGGTGCTGCCCAGGAGGGTTGTCGTCAGGGTTAAGTGAGAATACCAAGCCCGGGGCCTGGCAGATGGTGAGTGTTCATCCCCAGCTACTGTTAATGAGACATCGAACAGTCACTTGATGGCGAAGCAGGGACGGCGGAGGATTTGTTGAAGATGGGGGAGACTTCACGTATGCAGTCTGAATGGAAGGAACCAGGACAGGAGGGCGGATCGAAGATTTGAGAGTGAGAATGACTGATGAAGTGAGGTCCTGGCGGGG